CAAGATTTTGTTTTGGACTGGAGTGCAACTAAAAAAAATCATTGATAGAGAAATTTATGTGTCGCTTCTGCTATTCGGTTTATTATTGTTTCACTTCTGCGTTTATGATTTTCTAGTTGTGCTCCAAGATAGCAACTTCTGTATTATCGTTTTTATTCTAGGTCACTCATATGTACTATATGTACATTATACACATATATATTGCATAGCCAGAGGTCCAATGCACACATCCATACCAATATTTCTTCATAATATTGTTTTTTTATATGTTTAATTCACGTTGGAAAAGTGCGTTGGGTCAATTTGATCCGAAGGACGGTTTGAAGGTTAATATTTGCAAAGTGTGCATTCATGTCCTTATAGTTGGCACGCTTGAAATTGAATGCTTTTGTTTTGATGTTGGCCTCGGTTGTATTGTTTCCATGCCACTCAAATGTGGCTAATATCGGTGGATGATGATCTTCCACTTCCGTCAGTGCGTTAACTTCATTTACACGCTCAATTGAGATGTTGGTAAAATCATTAGTAAAGAACAGGTCCAATAGTCGTTCTTTTGAATCATTACGTACATGATTTACCTGATGAACTCCCATGCTCATGAGTCCCTGGATGAAAGTGGCCGTGTACTCCGGTGCAAATTTAGTTGGAATCATGATGTTGTCATCGTCGCTATCGATTGACCATTCAACATGCGGCAGATTAAAATCACCAACAAAAATAACGACATCTTCAGGATCGGTAGCGATTTTGTGCATGGCTGTTAAATGTGATTCGTAGACTGTTTGCGGTGAATTTGGTGGAATGTATGCACAGTAGATATAGATGACATGTGATTTAGTAGTAGCTTTCACACAAACGTATTCCAAATCGTCGGCACCGGAAATTATTATCTCTTCACTGGCGAATTTGTCATTTTTGGTTGCAATTAGTACACCACCGCCGCGTTGAAAAAGACTATCCTTACGAAAAACAGAATATGAATCGTCAAAAAATTCAGCATCATAAATATCATTTCTGAGCCACGTTTCAGTTAATATTATCATATCGTGATCCTAACATCAGTTTCGCGGCGGTATTTTTTTTATATGGGAGCTTAAGGAGAAAACACAGAGTCGCGTTAAATGAACCATTTGTTGAAAAATTGAAATTTCTGATGAACGGACGGGAAAAACGTGTTTTTAGTTTCATTGAAATTTTCGGACAAATTTCGGCCAAAAAATTGTCCGTCCGTCCGAAAACGTGTCCGAAAAGTTTCGTACAAAACCTGTCCGTGTCCGTTGTCCGTTTGTCCGAGATAAAATTTTTCGGACATTGTCCGTCCGTCCGAAAAGTTCGGACGGACAAAATTTGTCCGTCCGAAAAAAAGTTCGGACTTTTCGGACGGACGGACGGACAACCTTTTGTCCGTTGACAGCTTTGAATGAAATTGAAGGCGTTACAGCAATGTCACGAGTACACAAACTTATGGCCAAAGATTCATTGAATATGCCTGGTGTACTCCGTTACTCCGATGGTGCTTATACGAAAACACCTGAAGAGGCTGCACAACTGCTTCTTCAGATTCTTATTCTGCACCATACAGCGTTTCTTCGCCAAAGGTGGTTTATTTGTTATAAATATCATATTAATATATTTACAATATTTCTTTTATTCTCTCCACACTCTACTTCTTTTAAAAAATTCAGTTACCCTCTGTTTAACAGTATCAGTACTAACATTGAAATCAATTAGATAAGTATCACAAATTGGAATAACATTAGTATCACATCCATCAGTTGCATATGGCGGTTTAATAGGAACAAATTTCTTATAAAAATCGTTATATGTAATAAGCATGCCATTTATGGGCTCAAATCTGGAATAATTATGGCGTCTTATTGGTAGTGATAAGAAATCTATATCTCTTGTCCGATGCCGTGGTGTTCTGATTCTTATTTGGCTGGTTATGTATTTCGACGATGTATGTCCACATAGTACATTATGCACCATCGATATTTGAGCAATCTTTCTTCGTTCATCAAGGGTGATCATTTGTAAATGCAGCAATCGAAATTCATATGATGGTAATTTGAATCCGTTTGACCATCTCATTCTGCGCAGTGCAAATAGTAAAAATTGCTTTTGTATGGATTCAAGTCTAGCAATCTTGTCGGCAGTGTATGGGTTCCAAATCTGGGAGCCATATTCTATAATTGGCAGTACAAAGGTGAAGAAGAGTTTCTTAATAGTCCATGGATCCTTAAACTCTCTTCCAAAATGCTTTATCCAAGCCAATCTTGATTTTGCTTTGGCGGTAATGAACTCAATATGTGCATTGAAGTTCATTTTCTCATCCAGTATAATGCCGAGGTCCTTAATTACTTTGACACGGTTAATCTTCTCATTGTCTATCGTATATTCAAATTCATACTGCAACTGTCCACGGTGATATGATATGCAATTTGATTTCTTGATGTTCAATTTTAGTCGATTGTCCCGGAAATATTTCACAATTTTGTTGAGATCGTTTTGCAGTTCTTGGCAGTCTTCAAAATTTTCAATGTGTTTCCATAGTCTAGTATCATCAGCAAACGACTGTAATATTGATTCGAGTGTGTGATGTGGCAAGTCAATAATAAATAAAATGAACAGTGTTGCGCCAATTGGGTAGCCCTGACCAGTTCCCGAAGTAACGTTGATGGAATTTGACATGACATCATTTAGTTTGACAATCTGCTGCCGTCCATTCAGGTATGATTCAATCCATTTAAGCAATTGTTCGTTCAAGCCCATGATGTTTAGCTTCTGGATAAGCAGCGTAACATTGACAGAATCAAACGCTTTTGCTAAGTCGAGATAAATTGCGTCCGTTTGAATGTATTTGTCCATCTTCGTTATTACACACGATGTAAATTCGGCCAAATTTGTTATTGTAGATTCTTGATACTCATTTCCCTGGAAACGAGAGAATTGACGCAGTTGCTAAAACGGGGTTTTAGAGACATTCAATTTCATGAAATTGAGATTGAAAATACCATTGTCACTCCGGATAGAGTGCTATGGGCCATTATGTCTTTTAAACCATTCAAATCACCAGGTTTAGATGAAATCTACCCAGTGATATTACAAAAGTCTTGGCATCTCATTGGTGACCTACTAGTGTCGATTTTCAAATCATCACTATATCTGGGCTACATACCGAAGTCATGGCAAGGGGTGCGCGTCGTTTCTATCCCCAAACCGGGTAAAGACGATTACACCATACCGAAATCCTTCAGACCAATCAGTTTGACATCCTTTCTACTGAAAGCAATCGAAAGACTCATTGACCGCTACATTAAGGATTTTATTTCTGGAAATTATCCGATTTCCGATAGACAACATGCTTTTCAGGAAGGCAAATCTACTGAAACAGCTTTACATACTCTCATCACAGACAAAGAGTATTCACTATCAAACAAATACGCCGTATGCACCTTTCTAGACATAGAGGGCGCTTTTGACAATGTATCCTTTGAAGCGATTGACACAGCTCTTGAGAAAAGGAACATGTGTATACCTATACGAAAATGGGTCAACCATCTTCTCAAGTCAAGAGCTATCACTTATGAGGCGTATGGAAGAAAGACCACTGTAACCCCTACTACCACTGTTCACCTCAAGGGGGCGTACTGTCGCCTACCTTCTGGATTCTAGTCATGGATGAACTTATTTCCCGCTTGGAAAGCGAGGGTTTCACCGTGATTGGTTACGCTGACGATCTTGTGGTTATCTGCAAGGGTAAATTTTTAAATACCCTATGCGAAATCACTCAAAGAGCACTAAGAATTATCGAATCTTGGTGTAGAGAGGTCGGGTTGACAGTAAACCCATCCAAATCAGAGCTCATGATTTTCACAAATAATAGGAAAATGGAGGGCTTCAAAGAACCAAAATTTTTTGGTAAAGCTATCCAGAAGAGGCAAAGTGTCAAATATCTTGGGTTGACACTAACTCACAATTTGAATTGGAAAGCGCACCTGGAATACCGAATTAGCAAATGCATTAAAGTATTCTGGTGTTGCAGAAGAGCCATTGGTCGTAATTGGAGTCTCAGCCCCCAAAATATACTTTGGCTCCACACTGCGATTATCCGACCGATGCTATCATACGGAGCCTTTCTGTGGTGGAAAGGAACAACCACTGCCAGCGCAGGAAAATCGTTGTTTCACCTCCAGAGGATGACTTGTCTTGCTATAATGGGGGCAGCTAAAACAACACCTCAGCTTGCCCTGGAGACAATGTTCAATCTACCTCCCCTGGAAAATTTCATACAGATGGAAGCTCGCGTGACATCATTCCGTCTTAACAAACTCATCTCCGAACGATGCCTTCGTGTAAATCAGTGCTGTCCAAACTATTGGCCACTTGGCCACTTGTGGCCAACCGAAAAATTCAAGTGGCCAACGAGAAGATTTTTAATTAATGCCCAATACATTTGTTTACAATCGAATTTTGTGGTTTGCCCGACAAAAACGGCAGAAAGAACAATATAAAGCAATATAAATATAATCAGTAGCTGTGTATCTAATGATTTTCGTCGAACCGTTGTTATTGTCAAACATAAACATTTGATAAAGTTGTGATTCATAGCGATATGTTTCTTACAATTATTTATTACGATCGAAATAACAGCTCCCGACTAGTGCGGAGTCTTTTGAATACAAAAATGATACGGCGTGCGTTTTCATTTGTTTATGTTTATATTTGCCGGCGACTGATTTCGGTAATGCACAAAATGAATCATATCGATATGGAGAATACAACAAGAACGTAAACGCAAGCACCGTCACTTGTCTGTGTTAAATCTGACGATGACCCACAGAGAAGCGCACAATAACGTAACCAGCATTGCATACGATTGATCAAGTAGCCATTGCACCGTTCGTACGGATGAGTGTAAGAACGAGCGATTGACATACCACTCGTTACATTATTGGGACAATAACTCTTTATTGTGCGGTACTAAAAAATCAATTGGCCATTTATTAATTCATTTTCGATTGAGACGAAATGACGTCCAAGAATTCAAATTGAAATTAGTCGCGTTCAAGAATCAAATTAATGATAAAGATTTTAGTTTTTTTCCTGTATTAGATACACATCAGTTCAATGAACAATTTGATCTCGGTTATGACACAAACGTTTTTGTTAACTATATTGATATTTTGATTGATGCGTTTGATTCACGATTTTCAGATTTCAAAAAGTTTCATTTGGCATTCAAATTTCTTAAAAACCCATTCGTTTTCGATCAATGTAATATTCAAGATTTATCTGATCTTTTTGGTACGAAAAAGACTCATTTGGAATTCGATATTTCTTTGATAAATGAAGAAAATGGTTTGCCAAATGAAACAAGTGATACATTGTGGAATCGTTTGTTATTGGAGTGCAATTTTCTAGTTCTTAAAGATGTTGTGCCAAAAAAATTTTGCATGTTCGGGTCCACATACGTTTGTGAGGCTTCATTCTCCAGTTTAACGCGTCGTAAAAATAAATACCGCAATGCATTGTCGCAGAACAATTTGGAATCTGAACTTCGTTGTGAACTAGCTGAATCTACGCCTGACCTTAACAAACTGACCGAAAATAAAGAATGTCACCCATCGCATTAATTATTGAAAGAAAATAAATGAATAAAAATTCAATTTTCGTGTGTATTTACTGTATTCTCTCTTTTTAACAAAAAGTGGCCAATCGTTCGGTCGAAAAATCAATAAAATCATCAAAATTAGACTCATTTTCATAGAAATTATCGTATGTTTCGACTTGACTTCGCTTTATTTTCAATTCTTAACATTGTTCATTAATTTTTATAACGATTCATCAAAAAAAATCACATTTGGTGGATACAAGTGGGCAAAATGTCCGAAAAATGCTAAATTTTTTCAGTTTTTCGACCATAACTCGCGAGGAATGCATTTTTTTCACTCACTTTCTTTGTCCAAACTATAGCCAGAGAAAAACTAAACAACTCTCTAGAACACATCAACTCGAAAAAACCACATCCAATCCACTTTATTGGCTGAAAATCAATTTTGGATACCAAACAACATTTCTGAGCATTTTTTGAATTTTTATAACTCCTCAATTGATCGAAATAGAGCAATGGAGTCTGGAACAACTTTGTAGTACTGCTCAAGAGCTTTACAGGCCAAGTTCTAAAAGTACTAAAACAGCACTAAAAATGTACTAAAATGTACTAAATTGCCTAAAATCATTTTAGTACATTTTTGGAGAGCTGACAGCTGTCAAAGTATCAACATTGTTTTTTCATTGCTCTGCAAAAGTTAATAAATTTTCGAGTTTTTTTCAGGTTTTTGGAAACGTTTTCGACTTTAATTTGCAACGACATGAAAGTTTGAATGAAATATTCACCAAAGAAATTGAAGTTCAAGTGAAACACCCGAAAATAATTGAGAAATACTGATTTTTGTTTTGCTGCTTGAAAAACTTAACCAAAAAATGTCATCTGAACCCCATTGTTGTGAAACCAAGAATTGTTCGGGATTAAAATATAACGGATGGTCATTGAATTGCATATTTTGCCACAAAAAAGTATATGTTGAATGCCTGCGCAATCGAGATGCACAACGAACAAAGGAAATGCTGATTAAGTTCGGATTGATGGAAAAAAAAACAGAGGCAAGTGGTACAATCAACTGGAATATTCTGAATGACATAGACAAAGTGCCCGAATTTTTTTCAACATTCAACGTCGATTCACCGTTCGGAATAACATGTGAAGTGTGCAAATTCAAATACTCACAGAAACAACTGACAGAGATTGAAAACAGAAATTCACATCAATTAGCCGAAACGAGCAAAAATCAACAAAAGAATATCAAAACACCGAAAATATCTCCTGTGAACGGTGTATATGCAATTCACGTATCACGAATGCCAATAGAAACCAGTCCCGATGAGGTTGCTGCTCTCATTATTGGTAATTTGGACGCCAATAACGATTCTTTTCTTGTTGAAAAATTACCCAACAAACGATTCAAAGGGAAAACAAAAAGATTTTCATCATTCAAAATTTCAACATTGTCTCGTACGATTTGTGAAAGAATTGTCTCAATGGATGGATGGAATCCGGACTGCATTTTGAAACAATTCAATTGTCCATTGAAAATGCAAAGTAACACAAGCCCAGTTGAATCAAATGCCCCGAAAAAGAAAAGACAAAGTCTAATGCCACAACAAAATGTGCAACAACAAGTTAATTGAGCTGAACAGGGATAATTGAGCTGAACTGTCAAATAGTAAACAACACTTTTTTCTGCTCCGTAAATTTTACTTGAATTTTTTCACATTTTAAGTTATTAATCAGCCAATATTCACGACAAAATTAATATATTTCGAAGCCGCAGCTAAATTATAGTTTGGAAAAACTGAAGTTCATCGAGTTATTCGGAAATAAAGTGGATAAATTGATGTATTTTATTTTGTCTTTGTGAGTTTGTTTACGTGAAGAAAACAAAGCTGATAAACATAACCATACAATGTCAAATCAAACAAAACCTCACTGTTGTGCCACAAATAATTGTGTGGGTTACTACGATATTTTTTTGAATTGTCGATTCTGTGATAACAAAATTAACGCCAAATGCCTACGCCAATGTGTTGATGAGAACGAAGAAACTATTATTCATGTTTGGACTGATGGAGGAATATGAAGATGATACAGGCAAAATATACAATTTCAAATCAGTACCCGATAAATTTCGTGTCCATGATTTCAATAAAATGTTTAGCAGTAATTCACCGTTTGGTCTGACTTGTGCCGTTTGTACAGAAAAATTCAAGAATCCACTGCGAAATGACAATGAAATCGCTAACGAAGCAAACAAAAAAGTCATGAATGAAAAGGAGAGTGAAATTGTGCGTTTATCGAGTGTGATTGAGAAGCTAAAACAGGACATTGAACTTATGAAAACAGAACAAACTGATCACGTTAACACAGCAAATCAAAATTGTGCTGATCGGAATAGTTTAGTTGATACAATGAAAAAATTTAGTGAAA